CTGTGGTGACTTGTGAAACTCGGGCAGTTCAGAGCACACAAACTGTTATCTGTACAAAGTTATCTTGTGCAATATGTCACTAATAGCTATAAACTGAGGACAAAGGAGGAGATAGGAGGGGGTGTATGCCAGCCTGCACATTTCTGTTTACCCTGTCTCCCTTCTCTCTTCCCAAGCAAATTTCACTTATAGGTTAAAAAATAATATTGACTTGGCTACTTTGGGGCTCTTAAACAATGAAGTCTCACTTGAACTGCTTTAGCTTATCACGTAGGACAGGAGCGTTGTGCGGATGGGAGTTGTGGCTAATCCAAATTCCTGGCAAGGTGAAGTGAGCTAGCCAGAGCTGTTTTTACTGATGTCCCTGGGTTACCCTGGGGGCTGACTGCATTTGTAGTTTGCCCCAGCTTCCTGTAAGACCTTTAGAGAACTGTGACCTCACACCTATTCATATCTTCTCACAAACCTTCCATCAGCTCCACAGTGCCTGTGAGAGTTTTCACACAGACTTCTGTAGTTACTAAGGTTGACCACCTTGTGGTGTGCAACCAATATCCATCTTGCTTTGGACAATGCTTCTGGGTTGCAGCATATTGCAGGACAGATGTGAATGAAGTCCTGGGGTATGAAGAGGTGCCAGCTGAACGAGTGACTGAGGCTGTGTTGTTCAGGAGCACCACTGACTCAGAGGCAATACGACCATTTCGACTGAAGGCAGCTCAGAGCAAAAATAGCTCTGATGTCTCAGCACTGTGCCCTGCAGTGCTGCAGTCTGTAGGAAGGCTTATTAGTTCTGATGAAGTGTAATACAGCCATTCTGGGGCCACTAATGTACTCATGATGAAACAAATGCAACCTACAGCCCTAGGAAGGGTAGTGTAAACCACACCCGAGCACTTTCCAGGATCTGTCTTAAATGTGCTCATCATTCCACGTGTCCTAGGCCTCTGTGAAGCCTGAAAATATTATTAAATGTCTTCGAAACTTCCTAACAGCCCTAACATGAACACTGATTCAAATTGGGACAAGTTAGATTCTCATTTGTTTGCCAGGAGAATCAAAATTCTGGAGGAGGTGCTTAAATTTTCAAAAAATAAATGCTGTCTTTCCTTAGTTGTGTTGACTCTGAGCTCACTTGTTCTTACATGACCTAAAACCACCAAGCCTTTCAGCCCTGCTGGTTTCAGTGAGATTAAATAGGTAAGTGGGTTTTGGAACAGGCTGCAGAAATTTTAACTTATTTTAACCAGTTCTTGTGGCATAAAGAAAGATAGTAAATTGCCCTCTACTTAGATAATACAAAAGAACCCCCACAAAACACCACCCAAGTCCTAGGCTAGGCAGCTGATCTCTAGAATATGTTCAGGAAAAAAAAAAGATGGGTTAATATTTTATAAACTTTTAACACTGTCTGAAATTGTTATTTCTAACCTGAAGTACCTCTCTCAGTGGGAGTTCAAGAAGAAAAATGCCAGGCTTTGTTTTATGTCTGGTTTCTCTTAAAAGACATTAATTAAAACCAAATGTTTTTCTTTGTCTTTAAAGGAAAGAAGGAATTCATGGATTTTACAAAGGAATTATCCCCAATGTGATCAGAGTGACTCCTGCCTGCTGTATTACCTTTGTAGTTTATGAAAATGTGTCTGGCTTTTTACTTGGTTTTAGAAAAGAAAATAATTAAAAGTACAAACTTGTGTTCATAAGGAATCTATCCATTATTTTTTATATTTATGATCTGGGAAAAACTTAGTTCAGCAGTCTTTTTTGACACTGAATTGATCTAGTATTTTGCGGAAAGAATATAGAGACAGTAAAACCCTGCCAGCATCTCTCCTGTTGAACGTTCCTGCGTTGCTGCTTTCCTCTCTGTATCAGCTGTGTCTGCTTGAAACAGATGTCTGCAACTGTGAAAAAATAGCACTGTGACTGGGTGAAGGCAGCTGTGCAGCAACTCAGTTCATCCTGGCCTGCCTGGAATAACCGACTAAGCTGTTTCAACAAGTCTCGAGATAACAGTTGGTCAGACTCTACTCCTGCATAAGTGGAAAACTTCATGTAAAAGCAACTCTGTTGCCTGTCAAAACTTTTTAAAATCTGAGTCTCATGAAAGAACGAGCAATGTCTTCTGAATCCACCTCTGTGTTATTTGTCAGATTTTACGATATGGAATGCTCCAGATTCTGTTGCTCATCCAACACAAAAATTCTGCCTCAGTGGGGTGCAGTTTGGAAACCAATATTGTTTTTTAAGACAGCTGTCCATTCTTGGGTTTGAATAATTGCCAGTCTGATGCAACCCAGTTCTTGTCTCATACCAGAACAGAGTTGTGAGTTGTGTTGTGAGTTTTGACTTGGTTTTAGCACCAGACCAAAATGTATGTTGTGTGAATTGCTCACCACTTACTTAATTCATTTTCTCTCTCTTCCCTTCTCTCTGCATCTCTCTCTGTCTCTCTGTACCAGAGTCTGTCTCCATTACTGATACATCTGACCGAATATTACTAAGCAAATATATATTTGAAAGTGGGCTTACATTTTAAAAATGAGGATTTTTTTCTAGTAATCCATAGTGATGCAGTGTTCAAACCACTGTAAATAACAAATATGACCATGCTTATTTCCAGTAATATTGTCTGGGAAAAAAGTCTGTAACTAGTCCAAAAAAATCTGGTGCACGGGACTTTCTTTTAAAAAACCAGAATGATCCTTTAATGCCTTCTAATTAGCTTAAGGAAAGGACTGTTAAGAATATATTGATTGCTAATTTAGTCATAAGTTAAATTACAGTACCTCTCATTAAATTTGTATAATAATGATGGTTGGTTGCTTGCCAGTAATTGCTGTCAAGGATATGTACTTTTTGGAAGTCTAGGTTTGCTGGTTTGGGATTTTTGTGGTTCTTTAAGAAAATACATTACTGACCATATTATCTGCCTTCTGCTGTTAGTAAGAAGATATTAAGAAATATCTAGAAAGTATCACTTAACTAAGAAATAAATTAGCAAAGATTATTCAGCAGGTAGGGGGAAATTCATCAGTTACATAACGAGCGGAATAATCCTGCATAGTCACTTAAAGAAGTTTCCTGTTTATCAGACTAATTTAAAGCAGAAAGAAGGGTTTTTAATAAAAATTTAACAGATTAGGGAATTGGTTTCATTTTTAAGTTAAAATCTGGAAAACTACAGAAACTACTGAGTATTTTAAATCTAAATTCAACAATCCACTTGCTTGTTTCTGTTGATACTATTGCCACATACCACATTTTTTGTGTAACTAACTTTATTAATAATTTCCACTTTCTCTTCCACATTCCCGTCCTCTCTGCTGATACAGTTGATAATCTTATCTGGGGTCATTATGGCTGGATTTGCTTTTTATTACTGAAGGTTCCATGTTATTACTGAAGGTTCCATGTTAGCTAAACATAAATTTACTGAAAGTTTACCATGCAAATTACTATGTAGATCCATAACAGCTACTAACTTCTGCCTTTGGAGTGTGTTTACTTGGGTTTGTGTGTTTTCTGGTACACAGAATGAATTTAATGGAATGCTGAATTAACTCTGCCAGGCAGGGTCCAAAAAAATATCGTAAAGACATGAAAAAAAATCATAAAGAAAAGAATAAAACCTATGCACGTACTACCCTGGATCAGTGTGCTCTAGGCCCAAAACAGCTTACTCATGCCTGCAAACACAGGCTGCAAGCATGTGCACAATCAGTTACTGTATGTTAACTGACTTTCTGTAAATTCACTCCATAGCTCAGCTCATAGTACCTCGTTTGTGTTCAGGTACCTTAAAACCCATCGTCCAATCCAATGAAAACAGTACAGCCCTTCAGAGGCAGAATACCAGCTCTGTAACTTGCTGGCTTGCAGCAAATCCCACACATAAACTTGCAGTTGGGAAAGCCCAGTGCTCCCCTTGCTGCAGGTGTGCTCCTCTGGCATCCCCAACAAAAGATCCAGGCAAGAGCTACCAATTTGAGAGATGCCTGAAGAATATCTTACAGCTTTTTCAGAAAAGAAGCTTGAATTTAATCCTAAATAGCTGAAATAAAATAATTATTTCAGATTTAATGTTTTTTTCCTTTTAATTTTTGGGAAGACTGTAGATTTCTGCATGTTGTACATGCTTTTCTTGGGGTTTTTTATTTCATTAATGTAAAATTGATTTTGTAATACAAACGTGACTATTGTTTCTCTTTAGAACGTGTACAATTTTTAAAAATATTTGATTATATCACTTGCAGAATTTGGAAGAAAATACTTAAAACATTGCAGCTAATGCTCTGCCAGCATGATAGGTGTTGTCACTCACTTGTAAACAGCTGTGGCATTGTTTCACTTTACCACTACCCTTTCTGAAGGCCAAGGCATTTCAACCTGCCTTTTTTCTGTATCTTCCATACTATTTAATATATCTAGCTTTTAATTAATACTGAAGTGATTCTATGTATCTGAAAGGCTAAATCCAGGAAAATTATTTTATTGGAGCAATGAAATCAAGTTTTATAACTGTAAAATTATTTAATGTCTGCATCCTAATAATGGAGACCAGTCACAGATGTTTATACTGAAATCCGGTCTATCAAGAAGCAAAAGAGGAAAGGAGAGCTTAGATGGTCTATTTTTACTTCGTTATTCAGAACAAGGTATTTAACGCTTACCACATCATCTAGGTCACAGTTACGTCACCAGGAGTTTGTTGAGACAAGACTGTAACAGCAGATCATGTTACTCTGCAGTCAGGTTTGCAGAAATAGTTGTTATGTGTGTTTTCTGAAGGCTAAAGCTAAGACTCGAATTTACTTTCTTAGAACTTTAAAGTCTTCTAAAAAAATTGTGTACCATAACACCATGTAAAATACCTCAAGCAGATTAATGTTCAATAAAATAGACTGGATTATTTTTATTTTTTTTGTAAAAGGTCTTATTTATTTGATACAAAAAGTTACGGTTAATTCTTAGAACAGTGGTGGTATTACATCAAACAAGGAATTTAAAAAGTTAATGAACTTGGTTTTGATGTTTATATTCTAAAATGATTATTATAAAAAGCCTCTGCAATGGACAAAACAAGGCTAGACAAAGGCTACAGATGCAAGGCTTGGGTGCCTTTCAGTCCAGTACTTGCATCCAAGTCTATTGAAGTAAATTCTGAAGAAAATAGTACAAAATAAAAAAAAAAAAAACTAGAAAGAGATATTATAAAAAGGGAGGGGAAGTTATTTTGGCAGTTCTTCAATGATGATTCGGGAGACTGAATTCCATCCAGTAGAAGCATCTCCCCGTGGATAATCAGAGCAAGTCCCAACCCATATGGCAATGTCCACCAAGCCGGCATTGATCCCTTCACACAGACCTTCCACTGGTTAAAGACAAAATTCAGGTTACCTCAGCAGGCACAATCCCTTTGTATTTCACAACTGAAGGTGGACACAAGTACTTAAGAACAGCAGTTCATTCCAAGCTTGTGCTATTTAGTTAAAACTGAACAGCATTTTTAGAAATAGAAACTATTATGTAGAGATGTGGCAACATCAGTTACAGTCATGCACTCTGTCCATGCTGCTGCTTGACACCTGTACCTGCAGTACCTGAAGCAGATCACAATCCACAGGATGGCTAAATGGGAGGTGTACCTGCTGCTTTAAACGTCCAGATTTACAAAATGGGAGCTGGGATATGGCTTCATACCCTTCCAGCCATCTTTTTAACAGTGATGGGGAGGGGAGATGGGGGTGCAGCTGTACCTGGCTTCCACAGCTAAGCCCTGTAAAGGTGATTGCCACTCTGCAAGCTTTGCCACTCCTAATTTACTGCTTCTGTATAAAGTTCCATTCCTGTTGCCCTTTTTTTTGCCCCACCAGCACCACTAGGTGGTGGGTTCATGAAGACAGGTAGGTCCTATCCCTTGATGAAAAAATCCTATGATAGCTCTAGGCATTATACTTCCTGCAGTCATGCAGTACAGGGAGAAAAGTGGAGAAAGAGCACAGACTTGTTCATTCACTTTTCCTAGTGTTACATCCTTTTATGTTGAATGACTTCACTAATTTGCCTTTTGCTTAGCAATTGAATAATATCCACAGATATTTTGCTTCTGTGCCCCACCTGAAATTAAGAGTGGAAATTCCAGGAGGAATAAGTCTCATTTTATGCACAGATAATGTGCAAATATCAGTATTGTAAGCCAGGATGATACTGTCTACTTGGCAGTAAGGCTTTCTCCATAGGCTAATACAGCACAGAATGTATCTGTATTCATGTTGTGGCAGTGATCAGTAGAACTCTCTGGATAGAAATCTCTTCCATTTCTAAATCTCAGGATAGAAGTACCGTGAAAAATACCACAACAAGAAAGTACTACTTAATAAATAATTATAATACTGTTACTATCGATAGTCAGTTCTGAGGCAGCAGAGTAAGAGTACCGAGTGTTAGCTGGCTGCTCTTCTGCCTCTTCTTTCGGTTCTCTAACTTTCTAAGGCAGGCAGCACTCTGGTACCTGCTGCTGCCTTCTCCTTCATCTCTGCCCACGTGGTCTCTGCATACATACCTGAAGAAGTTCGGTGTATATTAATAGTAGAATTCAGCTCTGGGCTTCCTTGATCTAAGTATATTATGGCTTCAATAGGAAGTGGCCCAGCACACTCTGCACCATTAAATGTAAAGTACCAGCGCTGACAACAGGCGTTTTTGCACTTTAGCCGGAGTGACCCACTGAAGAGCACGCGGAGAGCGCTGTTCGAGCGCATCTTGGTAAATGTGCATTCCTACGAGGAGACAAAAGTGCTTCAGTCGCAACCTCTGGGTTTGAATGTATTTATTTTCCATATGCTTATATTTAGGAAATATATTTAGGAATCTATTGATTTCTAAATGTTTTTGCTAGTCTCTTTAGTCCCCTCTGGGGGAAAAAATAAATAAGAAAAAAAATTGGAGCCTGGCAAATGCCATACAATGCAAAGATGAAAATC